CTCGCGCACACCCGACAACTGCCTTGGAACTCATCCACCTCACGACATGCTTATTCTTATCGCAGGCATAACCGGAAACATTGGCCAATTGGCTGCGCGCTACGCACTCCAACTAGGCCACCAAGTGCGAGGCTTTTCTCGCTCGCCTGACAAACTTGACCCCCCTGTAGCGCAGGGATTGGAGGGTTTCATCAGGAGCAGCTCATACTACGATGTGCCCGCGCTCGACCGAGCGTGCGCTGGTGTCGATGCAGTAATCTGCGCCTACTCTGGAACCCCGGAGCTGCACCTCGATGGGCAGCTCTTGCTGCTTCGTGCCGCTGAGCGTGCGGGAATCAAACGCTATCTGGCGGCGAGTCACAACAACGACTGGCGCAAGATAGGCATGGGCGATGTTCCTATTTACGACCCCATCAAGTGCTTCTCCATACACGCCGCTTTGACCAGTCCTATCAAGCCTCTCTTTATCATAAGCGCCAATTTCCTCGACGTCTTCTTTGGCGGGGAGGGCCAAGGCGACTTTACCCCCGCCGTCGGCGGTCCCTGGGACCCCAAGACCCGAGAGATGCATATCTGGGGAACGGGCGATGAGAAATGGTACTTTACCACAGAAGCAGATGGCGCCAAGTGGGCCGTTGAGGTAGTCACCTCCGCCAACGCCGAAAGGGGTGGCTTTGTCACGATCTGCTCGATGCATGTCAGTCTCAACGAGATCCGCCACATTTACGAAGCAACTACGGGCAAACACATCAATGTGGTCCGAAGAGGTACAGTGGAGGACTTGGAGAAAACGGTGTTGGAGAAAAAGTCCAATGCCACCCATTGGGGAGATTGGCTCCGGTATGCGTTGGTCCTTCACAACACCAAGAACATCTGGGGCCTTGACGTAGAAGAGTTCCACGGCTTCTTCCCTTCTTCTCCATCGAGTTTGGAGGAGTGGTTGAAGGCTCATCCAGAGGCATAGCCTTGAACGCAAGTCCATGCCCTCTTCTACTGTGCTAGCCTGTGGGGCTCGACGAGCCTTTGTGATGCAAGCAAGAAACACAGTTGATACGCAAATTTTGTCGAGCTGGCAAGTCGGCAGTACACAGGATCTGGTCTCAATAATCTCGCAGCCATGCAAGCGGAATCGCTCTTTCGATGGGCCCTGAAGCGTCGACGCTATGTCAGCGAACGACCTTGAATCCTGAACTCGCTGCCTGTACTCGTCGCGACAGGGCTCATCCAGGTAATGTAGGGGATTCATGGTTCGCTGTTGCAATGCTCATAGCGTAGAGGCGTTCGCTGCGCTCAGACTCTGCCGCTTCGAGCGCTTCTGCATGGTCTAATTGGATTGGCTCAGCCCAAATACGTTGCATGCTCGATCCACCCGCTGTCTTGCTTCAGCTGCGTCCAGTCTTCTTCTCGGAGACACATGCCGATGACCGCGCCGTGTGATGGGCTCTTGGGCATGACGTACATCAGACTCTCCACGGGGGTGAAGGCCGGGCGACGGACAGCGAGCGGCATGCCAAGACCCATGCCAAAGTCAAGCTGATCGAGCTTCGCAAACGCCCAGGAACTCAGCATGATGCCCGTCGACGGGTCTACGGGCGCCGTGATGTTGATGACGCTTTTGTCTTGGAGTCGGTCAAGGACGGTGGCGAGGGCTCGAGTATCCTCGGACAGCTTTGGCGAATTGAGCTGGCTGCGCAGCTCGGCTGCAATTTTACCGAGCGGCGCTTTGCCGATGCTGCCGAGCGAGGATTCGTTGTACGCCATGTTGGTGAGCGTGCCTGGATACGTCGATGGCACGCCCATGCGGCTCCGCAAATCAACCGCACGAGCGAACACCGTTGGGCTCTTCGCCGCTGTCCTCGCTGTTCTTGCGCGGGACAGGTGCTTCCAAATGAATGCGCAGACGGCATCGTCGGAGCTGATGTAGTTGCTGTCCGCGTCTTTGGTCTCTGTCGCGATTCTCTTCAGAGCTGCGACGGAATCGGTCGAGAATGCTACGTAGCCCCACCAGACGTTGGGTGCGACCGTTGGACTAGGCGAAGGTGCCGCGGGCTTAGCTTGCAGGCGCTCCAGCCATGCCTCGTTCGGTATCCATGTACCGTCATACAGAGTCAATACTTTGCTCTTGTCGATGTTCGCGATGGCAAGTTCCTCGTCCGAGAGGCATGTTCCGTCGCATGCCCTCGAGAGCCAGGTTACGACAGCCGCCATACCGGCCATGTCCATGACGTTGTGTTGCGCAGCCACGGTAAGGATCAGTCCGCCGGTGATGAAGTTTGCTTGGAGCGCGAAGACGGGTCCCGTCTCTGCGACGAGGCCGTTTGAGCTTCCAGGAAGATTCAGAGTCATGCATGGCGCGATGAGACTTTCGTCCAGCAATGAGAAAGGATATTGAGCACTTTGGAGTTCGTTCAGCGTAGCGGCACTGCCAGCCTCTCGCAGATCTGCGACAACTAGCGGAATCTCTGGAGACTCGACGATGCGATACGATCCGCTGCAGCCCGGTTTTGAGTCTTCGTTGAGAACGCTGCCGCGCAGCCACGGCAACTGTGCAGCTAGACTGTCGAGTCCGCAGCGTAAAGCGCTCGCGACCTGATCTGTGTTTGATGCTCCATCGCTGATCGCAAAGACAAAGGCAACTTGCGTATACAGCTTGAAGAGCGATGGCTGTCTGCCCAGCACGTCGAGGAGCATGTCGTGCAAGTGATTGATGGCAGCCAACGATGCTGTGCCGTCCCTGAGGGATGCCAACAGCCAACAACTTGGTAAACGTTGATAATGCGGCAGACAGTTGAGGGAGTGAAGCAAGCCATCTTGCCGCGTCGTGTTTCTAGCGCAGTCCTCGACTCGTGCCGGCGTTCAAGGGCCAATTTAAGGGTTGCAAGTCCACCTCGCCCTAAAAAGACCGTGCGCAGCGCGAATTTATCCCTGGGCCACTCCGGTGGTAGCGAGGACAAGTCTCCTCCGCGATCCTGTGTGGGTTGCTGAGGATCTCGCTCGAGGAGAGACCAGGCAAGAAACGCTGGCGAAGTGTCTGTGGGAGACTCGATTCGTTTGGACCTCACAAGGGTCCAAGCTAACGTTCTATCCTTCGAGATTCCGAATCCTCGAGTTCCGATCAATCGGCGCTGAATCCGAAAGCCGGACGATCATCGTGTGGATGCATTGATTGTGGAGCCCTTGTTCGGGTCGTAAACGACGTTCCGAGCCGAGACCAGCGGAGGTCAAGAGCGAAGCGATTGTTACGAAGAAGTAGCAGCGACATGACCGCCCACATTGCCCGATCCGCCGAAATGTGCTTCCAAGGAAGCCGCCCGCTTGCCTGACAGCGGCCTGTCACGAAAGGCGGCATCGAAGTTGCGTGCGGCACTTGCAAGCGAGCTTCCCTTCTCGTGCTTCCGCTGTGGACCTGATCCCCCACACGCACCTCCCCCACTTCGAGGACATTCAGTCTTCCGATTGCGCTATCTGGACGAGTGGGACCGCATGGTCCCTCGCTGACCCCCCGCGAGCCATCAAGTCCGGTCCTCTAGCTCGCTTTGCGCATTGCATGTGGTCCGGCATTCGCGTGTGGCTCTATGCCAAGGATGCGAGCAAAGCTGGTGAAGGATCGTATTAATGAGGAGGTGTGCACCAATTCCGACCGGAGCAGTCCCATCCATGGCACCGTCATCACTTGCGTTGCAACTACCCGGAGCTTGCTGATCTGGTACCAATCAACGGCGTGTCGCCATGTCTTTCAGCATCATGTCAACCTTGCGGTTGCTCCTGGCATGTCTGGTTCTTTTCGTAGGCGCTCGATCGGCATCGGCTGCGACAAGGAGATCTTCCGAAAAGCCCAACTTTGTGTACATCATTGTCGATGATCAGGACTTTTCCACGGCCAGCCCGCAGATCATGCCTAGGCTGACCGAGAGGATTGCCTCCCAAGGTACCAACTTCACACACTTCTATACCCCCATGTCTATCTGCTGCCCTTCGAGGGTGGGATTCCTCCGAGGCCAGCATGGTCATTCGCACAACGTGACCAACGTGGCCCTGCCATGTAAGTTCCTGCGGACGCAACACTCATACTTGCTCTCGTACTCTTGGAGCTGACAGTAGAATGGCTGAATGACCCTGTTACAGACGGCGGCTGGACTCGATTCGTGGCCCAGGGATACCGTCGGGATTATCTTCCTACCTGGCTTCAAGAGGCCGGCTACAACACCTACTACACGGGCAAGCTTATGAATGGAAACACGGTCAAGAATTGGCAGGCGAGCCCTGTCCTTGGCTTCAATCGAAGCGCGATTCTCAACGATCCATTCACGTACGTCTACAACACTGCATCTTTCGCGATTGACGGGAAGCAGCTGGTGCAGTACGAGGGTCAATACAGCACCGACGTTGTCCGCGACTTCGGTCTGCAGTATCTGGAAGAGGCCGCATCTTCAGGCCAGCCTTTCTTTGTTGGCATTGCACCAATTGGTCCCCACGCGGAGACAACGTTCATCAATGGCTCGGCGATCTTTTCGAATCCAGTCCCTGCAAAGCGACACAAAGACTTGTTTGCTACCGAGGTTGCGCCGCGAAAGAGCTCGTTCAACGCAGACGATCCTTCCGGAGCTGGCTTCGTCCGAGATCTTCCGCATCTGAACAGCTCGGTGGTCGACTACCTTGACGAGTGGTACCGCGACCGCTTGCGCTCTTTGCAAGCTGTCGACGAGCTGGTCGGTGCAGTGATGGACAAGGCAGAGCAGCTCGGCATCCTCGACAATACCTACTTTATCTACTCGTCAGACAACGGCTACTCTGTCGGGGAGCATCGACGTCAGCCGGGAAAGACCACGGGCTACGAAGAAGACATCCGAGTCCCCCTCTACATTCGGGGACCC